AAGGGGCCACCCCAACTGGGCGGTCGCAGCCACGGCCTGCAATACTCAAAGTTAGCCGCACGGCCAATCCTCCCGGCACTGTAAACGTCACTATACCCGGTCAAGTAAACCCAGAGCCGCATGCTATACCTGGCGTCTACCCAGGCCCCCCAGTGAGAACTACTAGGCGAAAACGTCAGAGAGTAGGGCGGAAGCATTTGGAAAAACTAAATGGATATGGCGCCAACTGCCACACATTTGGTCTCACTGTCACCAAAAGTAATGCGGCCTTCGAGTGAAGCGGCTGCAACGGATGGGTGCACTGCTGATGTGACAAAAAAGTGCCACATCAGTACCATAGCTTTATGACGCGCCACCCGTGCACGTGGTCTTGGTACATTTGGCCACAGTGCCATCTGGGACCGCACCTAGCTTCGGGCTCACTTGGAGCAACCGATAAATCTTCAGTAATCAAAGAGCAGGTATCCATCCAAACCACTATCACAGAGGAGATTCACTCTCCAGAGGATTCCGGCAGTGGCCTACTGAAGGTCGAAAACCCGAGAGGTTTTAAGCTGAACAAAACACTGCCTACGCCAACGGCAACTGCGTCCACCTTAGGCCTCGGAGCTGTACCAGAGATAGCAACCAGCGGACAACATAAGGAGTGCGTCGGGGTGGAGAAAACAAGCTCGAATCACCCGTGAAAACGCACCTATAGGATCGGATAATGTTGGCATCATTGGCCGATCTCGCTCTGTCATTCTGCTTAACGTCCCTGTCTGTGATGATAGCCTTCTGGAGCACAAGGACAATTTTGGCAAGCAGCAGTGGAACTCCCCTTGCGCCATACTAGGTCTGGACGCAAACCTGTGTCGACTGTACAAAGGTACCCACTCACCCGCAGGGAAACTTCCACCGATGAGAGTAACTCTAGGCCCAACTAGAGACGCTAAAAAAGTCCTCTTACTGTCACATATCCTGGTCATTAGCGGATCATCCAACATTGGAGCCAGACCGATCATGGGTGTCAAGAAAGACGTCTCGAGAAGCAGCTGGTCCACCAAAACCCACAGTTATGGTACTACATGGAATACCTGAAGTGGTGACCGGTACCCCAGGTGATGAGCAAACCCATAAAGTCCGACAGTGGGAATGGTTACCGGCTCGGATCGAGCCGGGTGGGGTTGCAGCTGCGGCAATTAGCAGACTGCCACGCCCTTCGCACCTGACAACCATGACCTCACCCAGACTAATGGCTGTCAACTTCAAATCCCCAGAAGTACTCGCCAGAGTGTTAGAGACGTGGTGCAGAGTCAGCGGCACCACGGCTGGTAACGTTCGCTGCTGTGAAAGCAGACCGAGAACACTGCAACAGCAGCAGACATCAGGCACCCCTGCGCTGAGGGCACCGTAACCCTTAACTGAAACGTTGAGAGTCAGACCGGCAACCTCTGCCCAACAAAGAGTGCACCAATCGATCCGGGGAAAGCTTAGCTGGGCCAGTTTCATTGGAGCTGGCCAGTCAGTATAAACCCTCACATCCAAACCTGTGCCACTAGTTAACCCAGGGACATCTCACGCTAAGAGAGGCACCTCCAGGTGTCCTTACAGTGACGTTAGAGGACTCCGAAGTAAAATGGCAGAGCTCCGATCCCTCTGTTCCAACCCCGTCCAAAAATCATGATCCCGACAGAAACATAGTTGCAACGGACATAAGTGACACCAAACTTATCGTAGACGACATGATTCTGTTCCATTAGAGACGGAGGGGGGTTGCAATATACGTGAATAGTTGGTTCAGAAGTAACCTAACCACTGACTCGGTACTGACAGAGCTCCTAGACTCTACCTGGTGTCACTTCACGGCCAAACACACCAAATTCCTAGTTGGGGGAACCTATAGGTTCCCTAATAGCAACTTGAAACACAACCACGGACTACTCCAAGTGGTGTAAACAGTGTCAACAATAGGGTACGATCAGATTCTAGTAGCTGGCGACTTCAACGCTCCAACCCTCAGCCTAGAAAAAGGTGGCACGACTCCGAGCCGGAAGTTTGATTGTAACCTGCTAAATGCCATCCAAATGGCTGAACTGTAGGAAAAATTAGCGACAACACCCGCTGAGGGTCAGATGGTAAACCGTCTACTGACTAGTGACCACCTTCTGGTTGAAAACGCTCAGGTACAAACTCCTATTGGAAGCAGAGATCACGCTATGGTAGTGTTCGACCTGGTAATCAGTGAAAAATTATCATGGAAGGGACCTCGCCCTCACCTCTGTCGCAATAGGGCAAACTGCGAATGTATGAACAAAAGCTTATCAAGATCTCCGTGGCCAGTGGATTAGTGTTCCTTATCGGTTGACTAGCACTGGAAACTGGTTAAAGGTATCATTAATGCGGCCATCTCGCTAAGCGTCCCCTCGGCAGTAACGGCACCCAGAAAGCGAACCTCATGACTAAAACGGGGCACCGAGCACCTTCTGAGAGCCAAGAGGAGGGCATGGCGCACGTGAAGACTCTCCAGAGTACAGGACGTATGCGTGACTCGACGAAATCGAAGCAATATCAGAGCGCGGGGAGACAGGAGGTCATTCCAGCCCAACCCCGCCAAGAGGCCCTAGGTAAGCCCCAAAAACCAAAACCGATTAGTGGCAAAGAGAAACTCGACAAGACAAGGGGCATGCTTCATAAAAGGTCGGGATGGAGAAAACCTCTCTGGACAGGAGATCATCGAAATATTGAGCACCACATTTGACACGGCTCAACATTCCATCAGGAAAGTGCGCGTACCAACTGCACGAACAGCCCCCAACGTTGCCCCACGCTGCGGATTTGCATGAAATATAGATAACTCGCGCTGTCGTCCTCAACAAGCTATCAAAGCTAATCGCACGAAAATCCCCGGGGTGTGATGATATCCGCCTGTCTGTGTTGAAAGAATGTGCAAGTGCCCCAAGTACCTCGCTCTGCAATCCCTTCCAACACTCCTTGGATGAACAAAAGCCTCCACGAGGGTGGAAACGGACCATCCTTTCTCCCATCTCCAAAGGAGGAGATAGGCAGAATCCCAACTGCAATAGACCCATAGTATTTCTATCAGTGGTATCAAAAGTTGTGGTAAATGTGACGGACGACCGTATCAGGGAATATCTGGACACGAAACAAGCACTCAGTGACGCTCAATGTGGCTCCCGGAAAAGTAGGTTCTGTGCCTCCAACCTTATACCGGCCCATGATCACTGGACAGAATTCTGGGGTCTCAAGGTCCCTGGCCACTCGAATTTTCTGGACTTTGCTAAAGCCTTTGACACTGTCTCACACATGATCCTCATACATTAGATAGCTGGGTCAGGTATACGCAGCCAGGTGCTATCGTGGCTGCAGAACTACTTAGACAATAGGGAGTCCTGCACGAAAGTCAACAGGGTCTACTCAACTTGGAGAACATCCTCATCAGGTGTCTCCTAAGGAGCAATCCTGGGTCCACTGTTGTTCCTACTGTTTGTGAATGACCTACCGCTACATATCATCTCTTCGAATATTCTATGCGCTGGTGACGTCAAGTTATGGAGGGCAACAATTTGCGAAACGGAATCGAAATCATTCCAGAACGAACTCAAAACACTAGAGGAATGGAGAATTAGTAACGAACTGGCACTTAACTTGGATAGATGCCGGTCCATGTTGTTCCGCACTATTGAGCCCCAGAAAGTATCCTACTATCTCTGTGGTTGACGTCTATCCTATACCATAGTAGGAACGGACAGGGATTAACAGCGACGGAGAAACTGGACACCGGTTCCGGTTACTCAGGTGTTGCCTGAAAGCATATGGTGTACTACACTTTGTGCTCTGACAGCTAAGTGCCCTCACACCAGAGCTCTTTCTGAGGCTCTACAAGACTGACGTACGGACCCACTTAAAGGTCCATAACGTCTTCGCTCCACCACAACTGAAAAGTGGCACTAACCTACTGGAGAAAGTCCAGAGGCAAGCCGATAAAGGGTTGTTGGGATGCAACGAAAACCATATGAGGATAGATTGAAGGACCTAGGCCTATACCGTCTTAGCTACCAAAGATTACGAGGTGACTTGATAAGGGCTTACAAAATACTAAGTAACCCAAGTCACCAGAACAGAAGAATACTACCGAGTGGCTGCTATGAAGATCTCGGGGAAACCCTTAGAGAATGGCCCACCAAAGGTCAAAAACGCATATGCGTTCACAGTTCTTCTCCATCCGAGTCTGCGGGTATTGAAACGCACTTACAGCAGGGGTGGTCCCCGCCCCAACTATTGAAAGCTTCAAAAAGAGGCTAGACAGTCACGCACAGACCCACGGTCTATCCACACACGGCTGGGACACGAACTGATGTCAAGCCACCCCAACTATTTTAACCCTGCAACCAGTTTTCTTTCTATTTTCACCATTTAAGCCACTTTTATCCCTTCCACTTGTTGTGATTTAGTCTCGCTCACTTACCCCTCCTCGCCTTACTTGGGTGTGGGTAGATTACTCCACCAGTTCACTTCTCTTTTCCTCTTTTGCTCACACAAACACCTTTCTAGGTTTTCTCTTAACTATCTGTAGCCCTGTCTTGCAACCAGTCCGAACGACTGTCTGGAAAATCGACATATGAAGAAGCCAACTGCACTACAATCCAAGGCAAACAAACCGACACTTCCTGTTCTGGAAATCAGAGCTATAGCAGACGAGCGGTTGGACCTACTGCATCGAAGTCCGCCAAAGACCTGGAACCGTTCCTCAAGACCAAGAATTGAGCAAGAAGAATGCAAGTGGTTTACACAAGCTCGTGAAAAAGATATTGGTTATTTGAGATAATCACTTAAACGTTATTGGATATTGTCCTTGGAATTTTTCACCAAGACAAATGTGACCTTGAGGGCGAGGTTACAATGATAATGTCTGTTAGGTTGACTTTATTGTTAATTCTGGTGTTTATCAATAACCTCTGTTGAATCACACATGTTCAAAAATTTTTGTTAGATAATGTATGAGGCTTATTATGATGATACTGACAAACCTGTTCCAAATATCTGCAGCTTGTTCAGCTAGTGACATGACAGAAGTTTTTCACTTGTTAGATGTACCATTACCAAGGGATCCTCGTATGTCATCTTAACGTTAAACAAACGGATTGCTTTTAGAAATATTAGGGGTATCAAGGAACCTCAATAGTTCCAAAACTGAAATTCGTTACGTAGATGTGATTTTGTATGCTGCATGTGCATTGGACTGTGGTCGTCCTACGTTTCCACAAAAAAGTTTGGAAGCGCATCGATATGACTGTAAGTGTGATGCCTTCTAATATCCGAAGTTTTCCTTGGAGGTGCTTGTAACCCTACAACATGGAGGAAAGAGGTAGTTATTCCAATCCTCGACCGTTTTGGTTTTTCATACTATAATCCGGTGAGTTTGGGCCTATTATTTTATACTTGACTTATTAGCTTTCAAGTAGGGAATGCAATATTAGCTTACAGAAAGATGGTGATAACCTGGTTACGGTCTTTCCTTCAGTGAGGACTTACGTCACGTTAAACGCCTTCAGGCTTAGGGAATCAACTGCTCTTTCATGACGATCTAATTTAAGCCTTTAATTTTCATGTTCAGAAAAACCATTGTAGCTCGCCTGGATCTCTCTTTTTTGGAGTTTCCGAATTTCAAATTTAAATCAGGAACTAAATGTTGGTTGTCTGGACGAATTGCGTGAATATCTTTCTCTTAGATTAGTATGAATCTATGGAACATTTCGTGATTTGTTTCACCAACGGTTGACTCCATCCACTGTTACCTGGTTATGTCTGTTTCTGTTAAGAGTATTCAAAATTATATGCACTTAGAAAAGAACGGGCTCTTAGTTTTGCAATTTGTTTATTGATCTTCGCTTTTGGAACTCAGTTTTATTGCTTCAACAGGCATACATGCTTCAGTAGAAATCCCGAATCAAGCCGTCTTAAAAACAGATGTATTAAAGACTGACAAGTCATTTGGAAAGGCTGGTGATCTTTTTTCTACGTCTGTATAGTGATTTAATAAACGGTAGGAGAAAAAGGTGTTCCTTAGAGTCGCAAGCAGTAAAACTTAAAGAAAGGATCACGTTGAGTTCGGTAGCTTTCAGCCGAAGCGGTGAGGTCAGTGGTTCTTAACGTCAGTTGTTAAGTCATGAGCCTACTGTGTTTAAAAACCAGTCACTAAAGGAACAATGGTTTTTGATTGTTATGCGTTCATTGCTATTCGTATCATCCAAGATCATACTTTGTGCCGCACTATTCAAAAGGGATTTATACACAGTTTCTAGTGATAGGTAGCATGTATTAACCGTAGTACTTAGCGAGTTAGGTATTGTATGCTCTTATGAGGTGACCACTTATGAATAAGTTGAACAAGCCATATTTTTTTAATTGCTTCGTTTTGACTTCTTTTATGTCGATGTAAACTATCGATACTTAGATGGGCATGCTTTTTATGGTTCTCTGACTTCTATGGCTAAAATGTGTGTCCTATACATACATTATCTTGTGAGTTTTGTTTATCGAAGCATTACATTACTTGAAATCATACACTATATAGCGATTGGTAACTGCTGGCCTTACGGGAATAGTTACGAACTAAATTAGGAATCAACTAGATATGAAATGTTTCTGACCTGTTAGCTAATTTACCGTCTTCATGCAAAATTAACTTTCAATTCTTATTTTCTCACTCACACCGAAGCAAGTAGATGAATGGTCTCCTGACCTCATAGACTTGGAAAGAAATGCTAAATCAACATCTGACATATTGCTATTTGTTTTCGAAAACTGGAAAACAAGGGGATTGGTCAGTCTTTTGGAGGTTACTTACTTTGCTTCTCAAAGAAGGCCCTTAGTTTTATCTGTGTCTAAAGTCGAAGAAACTAATGGTCCTTCAGTAGCTGGTGAAGGTATCAATCAGTTGTAAGTTAAATAATTTTTTATTTAATTTCCTACATGGTGATATTAAGAGTTTTGAAAGTATGATAAAAGGCGTTAGTTTCACAAGACAACAGGTATACGAAAGATCTGACTATATTTACTGTTTTAAATTTAAGGATATTAGAGAATAAGCGACCAGGTAGGCGTAGTATGCTAACATTGTAAGGCATCAGTAATTCGCCTGGTAAGTTAGTATCAACTTTTTGCATGACACTGTATAATGATCCGATTTCCCACCTGTCGCATTGGCACACTAAGATATAAGAGACAAATATTGTAAAACGTAGTCAAAAATCATATGAAGTTGTAAGAAGAGGGATAACATGAGGGTAAAAAAAATGATGAAGTGTGATATGGCTATCGAATCGTAAGTTATGTGTGGATGAATCTGATAAATATTCTGAGCCATATCAACCAGAGTACTCGACGATCGATTTCGGCTGTTATGCAGTCCGAAATGATGAAGACTACATCCCCCCCACACTGCTCATACCAGCAGTCAGAGACTTGACAGATGATGCCATTTTTCGCCTGGTCTCTTTCAACCTTTTTCTAGCTTAAAGCTACTTCAGCCAACGTGAGATGGGGTACTTAATCATTCATGTGTCGAACATCTAAGTCGATAGTGGTTTACAGAGTCATCAACTGGCTAACTTCGTTTGGCGGAAACTTTATGCCTTATCTCTGCATAAATAACCTGGTGTTTCGACGACACATGACTAGTGGCTGACTGACAAAACCAATGTAGAACCTTGCAAAGGAGTGCGTCGGCTCAAGTTGCTGCACTTTAAAGTAGTACAAAAAACCCAAAAAGACAACGTTGTGTGGGGGAATAAATAATTTGAAGATAGCGGTTAGTGCAAATATTGGAACTTTAGAAGGCATTAAAGAGTGAATACATATGTGCCATTGTGGCTGATTTTCAGCCATGTCACCATGAGTTCTCAACCACTGATTCCTATCGTCTCAGGGACCCTGTCAGGTTGAACATACCTCTATATACAGCTCAGATCAAGAGTCAGGGACTTTTTCGTCTGGTACCACTTCTTGGTTTGACCATCCTAATCCTTCTTCCAATTTAATCTAACTTCCCCCACCAGCATAGCATGTCTAGGTATGCGGTGAGTCAGCACGTGCAACACATGCCCAAGCCATCTCAGTCGACTAAGGTTCATAATCTCATCAATCAACTTGCCTGTCTTACCCAGTAACTTTCGCCTGACCTCAAATATTGCTCACATGGTGATTTTTGTAAACCCGAGCAATGCTATGAAGACATCTGTGACCCAAAACTTGTAACCACCACACATCTTTTACTTTTAACCACCATGTCTCACAGCCATACAAAACGATAGAACGAACTGACTTGATAGATAGTCGGATGTCTTGCCGGTGCCGCAGGTGACACAAGTTAGAAAATGCCAAATGGGCCTTCTATATCCGAGCTGAAATTCCGTCAGCAGCTAGCGTTTTCGGGCTGATGCAACCTCCTAAGTGAGGTGAAGTGGTAAACACATTCAACCACTTCACTACTGATCATTAAACTAAGAGCTGTCGCAGACCATTCCTGGAGCATCATCTTACATTTAAAAAGTGCGAAACGCGTGTCAAATATGTTCAGGTTTATACTCAACGCTTTCAGGAGACCGTGCATTTTGTCAGCGTCTTCATCTAGCAGGACAATATCATCTGCATACTACACGTCAACTAGATGACCTCCAGAGAGTAGATCAATCTCCATGAAGTCAAACGTACCTACAGTTATGTTCATTAGTACTTCTATGACGAAGTTAAATAGAAACGGTGACAATGCACGCTCCTGCGGAAAACCACTAGTTATCGTCAGTTCACATAAAAACTCTCCCCAAGCCCTTACGTGGCTGCTTGAGTTCGAGTTGAGAGCTTGGATTAATGTTATATACTTGCTTGGTACTCCCTTCACAGTCAGACACTGCCACAACACCTTAAAATCGACAGAGTCAAATGCCTCCATCAGGTCAAGAAATATGGCAAGTGTCGGCCGCCAGTAGGTACGCCTGTGTTCCAGAACCCGTTGTAGGGTGAAAATATAATCGATGCACCGTCGTCCAGCTCTAAAACCTGCCTAATTTCTCGAGTTCCAGTTAGGCGTCGAATGACTATGGATCGTAGGATCTTGGACACAATATTGGTCAAATTAATTTCCTTATGATTGTCACAAAAAGATTTCTCTCCCTTCTTATAGACTAGGATAATCAGTGAAGTACACGAGTCTGACAGTACTGTTTCTGATTCCTATACACTACCTAGCAACTCCGTCACTTTTAGCAGCAGTTTCCTACCTCCATCTTTGAAAACTCCAGGTGGTAAACTATCAGATCCTGTTGCTTTGCATCGTTTCAGGTTCAATACAGCCTTCTCAACTTCAAGGAGAGTTAGAGGACTGACGTCTACACCCCATTGAGGTTCAGGCTGAATGTCGAGCAACTGTAGCGTTTCATTGCTGAGTGACAGTTGAACTGTGCATCACATTGTTCTAGCCACCTGTTGTGGGAGGGGGTTTAGCGTCCAATCCTTTTCGGTGGTGGTTTCACTCCATCGTCTTCTTCTTGCCGGTATCAGTAATAAGCCTAAATGGTTGTTGAGTGTTACCTAACGCCGATGCGTTCTCTACCTCTCTCGCCTTCCCCACCCACCACTACTCACGATCGATGCGAAGACCTGGTCAACTTATGTTTGAGTTGCTTTCGCTCTTCATCGTGATCAGAGTCAGTTGGGATCAGTCTTCTTGCATCAGTTAGTTCGGATGACGTCTCAGAAGTTCAGTAACGTTTGATAACCTTCATGTTTAGGTTACCAATTGTCTTTACCGCTGTTTCTACAGCAGACTTAATATCACACCAGGTTTCTTCAGGATCAGCATTACCGTCATGTCCAGATAAATGCTTCGGTAACTATTCCCTAAGTACGTACATGACGTCCTAATCTTCCGATCGAACACTGACAGGCTTTACCATCGGCTGTTTCTTGCTACCAGTAAGGCGAAGACAAACACGAGCTCGTGCTAGCACGTGATCGGAGTTCAAACACGTACTCCAGAAAGAGCAACAATCCTCTACCGATCCTGTCCAGCGGTGGCTTATGACAATATGATTTGTCTGTGTCCATTGTTAGTTTGGAGTCTGGGGAGGCCATGTGAGACAGTGTCTCTTCTGATACCTAGAGGTAGTACTGGTCATAAACAAGTGATTGTCGGAACGAAATTGCAAGAGCCGACCACCGTTGTCAATTCGTTGGCATGGGATTCCATAAGTAACCCGAAGATGCCTTTCCGGTTGGTTCAGCTTCCCTACTTAAACGCTAAAGTCATCTAGCATTATGACTGCCTCTAAAAGTTTTAGTGTCTGTAGCAAAGTTGACAACCTCTGATAAAATTCATCATTTGGATCATCTGAACGACAGTCGGTGAGTGAATAGGTGGAGATTACGAATAGGCATTGACTAGTCTCATGATCCTTCCTAGTCTTTTCGGATCCATCCAGTCGAACAGCCCCTAGATAACTGTTTACTGGTATCCAGTAGAGAAGCGCACTTTCTGCTCTGAAACTCAATTCTGTGCCGACACCACAGTCCACGAGCTCTAACCACTGGGTCTCCGGACACTCTTAAGGTGAATTTTGAAGATTCAATACTATGGCCAGGTGAAGTCAATTTAATAACCACCCTGGGGTTAGCACACATACACGGCTAGAGATTGCGGAGTTCTGGTGAGCAGTGCTTATTGTCCGATTTGACACAGAGTTCGGACGTTGGACTCTGCAGTATGAAATCGATGGAGACTAGGAATAAGGTTTCGATGGCTTTGACCGTTGACTATGCTTTCTGAGCGAGAGATTGAGTAAGGCGTAGGAGGCTTAATATTAGTATCAGGAGGTGAAGGCGAAGGAGATAAACTTGAGGAAGATAGATTATGTTTGATTGGGTCTTTTGTACTACTGGAACGTTGTGGACGTTGACACCCCCTGGCTGCCCACACCGTGGAAGGTTTTTTCTGCCAAAGGTACCAGAAAGAGAAAAATATTTGTGTGACCTCAGAGCCCATGGGACATTTGGTCGAGCCCTGTTATATACGGCATTTTGTGGATGTTGTTTTGAGGTTTGGTTGTTCTAATACCGCACAGAGAGGGCCCATATCACAGGCACCGGAAGACTATGGGGTAGATAAAATGGAGTGTGTAATCCTTGGACCGACCTTTTCTAAACACCTCTTCCCAATGGGAAGGCAGCATCAGTTTGGCACTACTTGTCATCCAAGGGAAACACCTAATTGCTGCTACACACCATCCATCTAGCAGCTGTACGACTCTCCCCTCAGACCCCCATCATTGTGTAGTAATTTGCACTACAACGGTAACTGCTTTTCGCCTTACCACTATCCACCAGACCTTTCTGGTGTGGTAGGACATCGAGGGAATAAGCGTTCTACCATCATCATCAATATCAACATAGGGCCAGGCATTACTGCGTAACGCTCCGAGTTGCCACACATCATATCAGTACATCAAGTAAAATGGCAGTGAGGCGCAAGATGAAGATAAGAAAATTCAGTCGAAAAAAATATAAAGTACGAGAAGAGAGAAAGGAAGAATGACAAAATGGTGAGATTCGGCATAATGTTAAGATGAGGATAATGTGTGTATACATCTGCGCCATTGATATCGGTTCTGAGCCATATCACCTAGAGTCTCCAACCACTGGTTCCTCTTGTCCCACGGACACCAACCACCTAGTCGGCATCACCCTACATGGCTCAAACCAACAGTCAGCGACTTCGTGCATTAGTGCCATGTTTTAGTCTGGCCACCTCGGCCCTTTTTGCAGCCTGGACCTACTTCGGCCAACATTGTGTGACGAGGCAATCGGTGACTAGGCAGGCATACGTAGTATGTGTCCCAACCATCTCAGTTGATGAAGGTTCACAACCTCGTCAACTGATTTACCTC